AGGGGAGGCGGCTCCCGTCTGGGGGCGAGGGGCGGGGGCGCGGCCGAGCTGTCCCAGCCGAGCTGTCCCGGCCCCGCCGCCACTTCCGCCGCCGCCGCCCCGACCCAAACACGCTCGCACCCGCGCACACGCACTTCCGCCGCCGCGGACACGTCACGGCCCGCAGGCGCCCTGCCCTTCCGGTCCGCCCGCGCCGTCACGTGGCTCCCCTTTCTTCCCCACCTTTCCCCGCCTCCTTTTGTTCCCGATCCCCCGCCTTTCCCGCACCGCCCCTGCCCGGCCGCGCCCAAGGCATCGGAGCCTGCGCTCCTTGACAGGGTGTACCGTGTCTCCTACTTACCCCAGCACCCAGAGGAAGAGTCTCTGCGAGCGACCCGAGCATCTTCCTATCGTCTTCCATTTCCTGTGAGGGTGGTGAGGCACTGGAACAGGTTGCCCAGAGAAGTGGATACCCCCATCCCTGGAACTGTTCAAGGCCAGGTTGGATGGGGCTCTGAGCAACCTGGTTTAGTGGAAAGTGTCCCTGTCCATGGCAGGGGGATTGGAACAGGATGGTCTTCAAGGTCCCTTCCAACCCAGGCCATTCTATGATTCCATGCCAATCCTATAGAGACTGCGGGGGCAGTGCTGCTGAACTTCCAGGGATGGGCGCTGGGTATGACAAGACAGAAAAGTCCTGGGTTAATTCTCTAAAAGAACCATTTTCCAAAGCTATTATTTCCAAAGCTATTCCAAATCAGTTCAAATGAGGAACTACACAGGCAAATCTGAATTGCAGTCAGGAATTTACCTGACTTTCTAAAACACTGAACAGCCACTGATAAAGCCTTAGAAGCTGATTCATTTCTGACAGAGTGCTAAAAACTTGAGAGGACAGGTTGCTAACACAGAAAAGTCTTGCTTCATAGATGGATATAAACAATGTCTTGATTGCTTCATAGTGTGAAGAATGACCTTGTGAGAGAGAAGGATCAGTTGGTCACAAACTATGAGTGGATTGTATAGGAAACAGAACAGTCAAGACAAAGTGTTTCCACAGTATAGCAGATTTTACAAGGTCTAATAGTTTGAAGGAAATTAAAAAAAAAAAACCTGCTAAGATGTTTAATAAGTTTATCAATAATGTTATTTAGTAACTGGTACAATTTAATGAAGCTTGTTTAGATACTCCATCACAGGAGATACTGAATCAAGAGTTGATGTTGCTGTATTCTCAAAATAAGTTTTGGCTCAACCACATATGTTTAAATGAAACAAAAATTATTTTATGGAAGGCCTGTGGTCAGTGTTGTGCTAGAAGTGAGGCTCCATAATGCTGTTCATTCATAAAATATGACTTTATTGTTAGTTGTCCAGTCAGTTCAGTGCAGCTTTATCTCCTCCTGTTGTTGTTGGTACTTTAGAAATATGCTGATTACAGAGGAGAAAGGTTAAATCAATCATATCACAGCTCTTTTTTTTTTAATAATCTCCATTCTTTAGTGCTGCTTTAGAAATATTTTTATGCTTGTAAAATATTATAGCAAATGGCCTTGTAGAATGAGAGGGAAACCAACAAATCTCATATCTATCTGCCTTTGTGTTTTCCATTTTTTGGTGTTTTTTTTATCTTCCCTAATATGGACATATCGATACTTTAACATACTGAAGTATGTTTTACTGGAGTAACAACAGATTTTTCTTTTTCTTTTCATCTTCAACAGTTCTTCTTTTCCATATACTTTTCCCTTGGTACCAGTTTGGTCTCAGAGTAATAATTTCTCCATTTTGCTTTACTTAGTTGAAGTTAATCAGTTACATAAATGTTTTTGTAAAGCAAATACGTGACTTCAAAAAAGTAAAAGTGTCCTTGTGTTCACCAGTGATGTAGAATGCCAGCCTACTTCCAGAGAAACATGTTTGAAAGTGCGCAAGTTGTGAGTTTGCTGAATGCAAGAGCTGTCCATTAAATCAGGTAATTCTGCCCTGATGTACTGCTTACTTGTCATAACCCTCTGACTGGCTTCGTTCTGTTCAACTGGACTGCAGAATTTGGTGAGCAAAACATCAGAATCCTGATAAACAGATGTTTTTTACTGTATACATTATGAGTATACATTCAGGCACCAGCCAGCATCCAGCCAACCTGGCACCTGCTTGCTCACTCACTCAGTTCCCTGCAGTAGGACAGAGGACAGAAGAGGAGGAACAAAAGCAAGACAACTTGTCAGTCAAGATAATGATAGTTTAATAGATGAAGGAAAGAGGGAGGGAAAAGGCAATTCAAAGGAAATCACTGACTACCTCCCATAAACAGACCAAGGTCCAACCTGTCTCGAAGCAGCAGCTTCCAACTTGGAAGACATCTTCTTCTACCTCTAATTTCTATTGCTGAGCATGATCCTGTGTGATATGGAATATCCCTTTCATTAATTTGGGTCGGCTGTCCTGGCTGTATTCCACTCCCAAGTTTCTTGCCCCTCTCCAGAATACCTTCTGGGGGAAAAAGAGAAAGTCCTGACGCTGTGCAAGCACTGCTCAGCAGTAGCTGAAGTATTGCTGTGCTATCCACACGAGTTTAGTCACAAATGCAAAGCACCATTCAGGCCGCTGTGAAGAAAATTAACTCCATCCCAGCCAGACACAGTACATACATGAACAGTTTCAGATGAAAAAAATTAAAATATTAAAAATTAAAATATCAAGTCATTAATAGAATACCTTGAACTAAATTCAATTCAGAGATTAAATGCTCACATCATACATAACATCTAATGTTTCATCTAATCTCAAATGAAGAACTGCTGATGGAAGGTATGATCCAAGTCCATTTCTGTTTTCAGCTGCAAACTTAAACCTCTAGAGTAAGTTGGGATATTGTATAGCTGCAGAGTGAGTTGGATCAACTAATGATGTTATGCAAAAATTATTCACCAAAGGACATAATTTTGTAGTCTGAACACAGCAGATTGAACTACCTCTGCTGTGGCTGCAGGCTCTCTAGATCTGGTGCACGTGAGAGTAAAGGAGTACGAGTTCAGAGAAGACAATGGGCCAAGACCCTCCTGTTTGGCAGTAAGCTTTAGTTAGGTGCAACATGAAACCACACATTCAGTTTACACAACAAGAATGAGAGAAAATACAGAACATAATGCCCATAATGTTCAGGAAACAAGAACCAAAATGTTCCATATATAGGGATCATATTCTATGCTTCTAATATAAATAGATAAATGCTTTCTAGAATTGGAATAATCTTTCGGATTGTCAGATGTACCTGAAGTTCAAAGCTGACTCAAATTTTTGATGCAGGAATTCTGTTCATGTAATATAATTGCACTAACAAAAAGAAAGCAAAAGGGATAACATATTACTTTTGCAGGAGAGATTAGAGAATTTTTCAAAATGCTTTGAGCAGACTTCAGAAGTGCTGCAGTAGGCCATTTTGCTGAAACTGCTAGCATGAATGGAAATCTCATATGCTTTTTGTCTGTTAACTATGTAGGCAGTCCGTGTTTTGGATTATGGGATGGATGCACTCTGAAACTGGGATCACACAACAGCAGAGCTACAATACTGGTGTGCTGTTAGGAAACCTGTGTTACCTGCAGGAAGTTCCTACTGGCTGACTAACTCCCTGACCACAACAGTCATGACATAGTGTGTCTCTCTTGCTTTGTGAAGCTCCCAAATTGTTCACAGCTGGTTGACGCTGACAGAGAGGGTCAGCAAACAGCAAAGATGCATTGTGAATGTGTGAAATAGAGGCAAGAGAACATGTGGCAGCAATCAAATGACTGAGTTCCCACTAGTGTATTTTGGGCTTGACAGGTCTCTGTGAATGCTAGTGGTGAAGATGACCTTCTTCTGCAGTAGCCTGGAAAACCAGATGTTTAAGGAAAATGCTGAAATCACACAGATAGCCCTACCAGTGATCATGTGTTCATATTTTATTTCATCGTGGGTCATATGGCAAATACCAAAAGTGAAACTGTGCTCAATGATATTAACACATTTGTGTAAGTGGGTCATGATTTCACCAGATGGATTTCCACCCATTCTAGCATTACTCTGCAGAGTTCTTTGCTCAGCCTTTTTGTGTTTCAATCCAGTGCTAGATGTGTAATTATAATGGAAGTTGATTTTAGATGATGTGCAGAATCTCTTTAGTGTGTTTGAACTTCCCAATTTTTTTTTCATGTGTCCATCTGCTATAATATCTTTTTTTTGTCTTCTATCTCTGCTTGTGTACATTTTTTCTGTACCTACATTGGTTTCATCATATCATAGCTTATGAAATGTGTGCAGCACATAGAAAGGAGTAGTTTACTATCTGTAAATGAGTTGAATAAAAACCATGAAAGTAACCAGGCAATAACAACAGCAAAATGCATCGGCATAGCTGATGTCCGTTAGGTGTTTCACAAAATTTGCACTGTTTTACATGGACTTCCCTGACCTTCAGAGACCTTAAGGAATTTACAAAGTTAGTGCTTTGACCGCCGTCTGTGCCAGCACCATAGTCAGAGTGAGAACTGTGTTGCAGAACATGCGGTGTTTGCGCTTCAGAAAGAAAGCAAAATGCAGGGGTTTAGGCAGTTTCCATTCCTCAGTTTTAGCCTAAACAAGACAGAAGAAGGTACTAGACTGTGCGAATTGGATGTCAGCAAATAGTGATATGTCAAGTACTGTTGAGGAAAAAAATGCTCCTGTAGAACGGAAAATTTTATTCAACTTTTTCCAAACAGATTTCTTTAGAGATCCTACTTTTTTTAACGTAGGAGATGACAAATTCATGCTAAATTAAAAAGAGTTTTGATCTTTTTTTTCCCCTAAAATTGCTTTCAACTGTTTTTTGTTAATTCATGAGCTTATCTTTAAAATTTACAGATCCTTTCCACACTATGCATATTCTTCCTGTGAATGAAATAACTTTCAGTATCAGAATGAATTAATATGACACTGATTCCTAAAATGAGAAGAATTATAGGAAAGAATGTATATTGTTAGTAGGTTTCAAATTGATTTAAAGGGATCTTTATTTCTGCTGAAGAGAAAACAACCATAGAGAGGCAAAAAGAGAAGGATGAGGACTTCTGCTCTACTTGTTTCGGCAACAGGCATTCTTTTTACATGGCCAGGTCCTATTTTTCTTCCTTTGACACAGCCTGCTCCATCAGGTCTGAGTGGACTCTTTCAATTAGCAAGTGTGGCCACCTACCGGGGAAAAAACAATGTAAAAATAAATCAGCAAGGTACAGAATGTACAAAAAATGGTAATATCTTGAGCACAGATAGAGAGCCATCTAGAAATACAACAAACACAAGGATAAAAATTGAAGTGCCCTATTATTACTATCTACTTTGTGCATTCCTGTATTTTGCTCTTCCTCTGTATAAATAGTTCCCTCTTCTTCTGACAGCTTTATCCTTACCCAGGTACTTCTCTCAATAAGATCAAATTCCTCCCAGATTTCTACTACATCCAGTTTTGTTCAAATCACTATTTAGCCTTTACTAGATAAAAAATTGCACCTTACAGATGAACAGATCACAAGGCAAGGCATAACCAATCATTTTATTTATTAAACTAACAACTATTTTGCAGGAGCACTCTAAACTTTAAGTAACAACAAATGTGATTGCAATAGGAAATGAACTGAACACATAAAGAATTTAAAAGAGCTTCTTTAGTTCCCAAGTGGTCACAGATGTTCTGTATTAGGAGCGTGGTACAGCCATATCTACAGCAGAAAAACACATCTGCTTTTGAAAAAGGGCACTAACATGGCCACAGCTAGATCACAGCTGATGCTAACATGATGCTTCTTGCCGGAGAAGACTAAGCTAGGTTCACACGTGCTGGAAGTTAGCTAATCATAGCACTGATGTGTACTGTCAATGACTTCGACAGCCGGAGCAGGTTGTCAGGCACCCCTAGTGCCTGGGGAGCTGGTCATCAGGGAGCAATTGCTTCCTGAGTCTCTCATCTTCCATTTATAGGTAAGGGTCCTGAGAATTCAGTTTTAATTTAGTGACCTTCATTTAAAATCCTTATCAAACAAATGTTAGAGCAGAGACTAAAATGGTAACAGCTGGTAATGTTTGTTGATTAATTATGATTGTGGTCTGTATGTTTATCTAAAATTGGTTTTGTCGTCGTAGGACTATAGAGAATGGAGCAGGATGTGATTAAATTTTGATGTTTTGCTGGGAGAAAGGGGAGAGTTTGCTAAATGTCATCTGAGAATAAAAGTCTTTGTGAGGGCTGAAGGTCTGTTAAACAGCAGTGAGACTTGTTCAGTCTTACCCATGCTGCTTTTCTGAAATAACCGGCATCTGCTTCTGAAAGGCAAATACAGTGGTTTAGATATACGAGGTCTTAACTCATTTAAGACAAACGTTAAGAGCACTCATATGGGTGATGTTGTCGCCCACCTCTGTGCTGTGTGGATGGGAGTTGCAGTTTCCTCTAGAGGAACAGTCTCAGCATACAACATTTGTGAAAGGGGCTGTAGTTTTTATTACAGTAATAAAGATTTAAAGTTTGATCAGACTTTTGACCATGTAAGACCTCATTTCAACCCTAAGAAGACTCAACCTACCTGTCTGAAACCCGATAGATTTTCAAGGACTGGTCTAAGAAATGTACTACCTCTGTGGTTGCGCCTTAATTTTTTTTTTCTTCATGACAGTTACAAGATAGCCCGAATGCAATTGATTTCCTGACTTTCTCCCAGGGGTGGGAGATGCGGGGAGATGGTGTGGGTTCTGAGGGCAATGGCGGAGCGCTGTGAGGGAGGCGGACGGTGGGCGCTGGGTGCGAGGGCGATGGCGGGGCGCTGTGAGGGGAAGGACGGTGGGCGCTGGGTGCGAGGGCGATGGCGGGGCGCTGTGAGGGGAAGGACGGTGGGCGCTGGGTGCGAGGGTGATGGCGGGGCGCTGTGAGGGGAAGGACGGTGGGCGCTGGGGGCGAGGGCGATGGCGGGGCGCTGTGAGGGGAAGGACAGTGGGCTCTCGGTGCGAGGGCGATGGCGGGGCGCTGTGAGGGGCGGCCGCGCCGCCCGCCTCGCACGAGCGCTCCCGTCGCTGCCGCCGCCGTTGCCGAGCGGGCGGGGAAGCGGCCGCCATGGAGGGGCAGCCGCCGCACTGCCCCGAGGGGGCGGACCCCGACGGGACGGACCCCGACGGGACTCCCGAGCAGCCGGACGTGAGTGCCTTCGCCGAAGGGGTCCTACTGTTGCCGCCCGCCCCTCTGCCGGGTCTCGCCCAGAAGGGGCTGGAAGAGGGGCAGTGTGTGGAACGGGCAGGCGCATCTCCGTGCGAGCCCTCTCCCCCTAAAAGTGCGCGTAGCACACACTAGTTGTGTGCATTATTACCGTGAGCTTGGTTATGCCTTTTTTTTTTTTTTTGATTGCATTGTTTAGGCTGGGAAGTTGCGTCCTGCTTATGGCACGGTTGCGAGTTGCCTCACCGAGGTGTTACCCAGGGTGAGTTGGTTTTGCACACGCTCCTTGTGAAACTTTTGTAATGATTTCCCATTAGCGAATGTGCTTTGAGACAAGCCCTGGAAAAAAAAATAATCAGTGAAGCTTTGTTGATTTTTTCTACATCTCTTCTCTTTAGAAAGTACTATTTTTTGTTTTCAGTGTTAGTTTTTGTCACGTGGGATCATAAAGAGTAGCTGACAGGATTCAAAACGCTTCTGGCAGATCTTTTTCACTTCACCTGTTTTATAAATGTCACCATGTATGCTTAGTTAGGACTGAATAGAATTATTTAGGGAGTTTTTTCCTATGGTAACACAATTGTAGTAATTATTATTAGAATTAATATGTCTTCTGATGGAGGTCCTTCTTCTTTACAAGGATGCCCCTCAGAATTGTGATTCCTACTGGCCCTTCCCCATGCCCCTGAAGAGTCAGAGGGTACTGAGACACAAACGGATCCCATAAATACAGTTCTCCCTTTAAATGATAATTTTAAAAAAATCCAGACTCTGGTTTAAATGATTTCCAAAATCGTTTCATTCATGGTGGAGTTGTTGTGAATTTGGTTCAAGGTTTCTGAAATTGATGAGTGTGACATCCACTTTTCATAAAGAACATGTGAAGTAGCAGTTACCCAAATCAAAGATGAGAAGAGTTGAAACTTAGCAACGCTGGTTTGATAAAATTTAAGCTGGGTTATGTTGACCTTAGACTCACAATATCAGCATATGCAGGAGCATATGCATGTATTATGGCCCTAAAGCATCCTCGTATTTTGTTCTTACCTCTGTGGAATCAGACTGAAATGTCTGCAGTACATTTTCTTTTCATTAATGATTTGTGAATACCTGGTGTAAAATTGTTTTTGCTTTGCCTTATATATAGCCCATTACTCCAACTACTGTGCGAAAGTTTCGAAATACAACAGATCCAGCTCCTGGTGCTAAAGTAATATTCTACGGCACAGCAGATGATCCCGACGTTGCAACTCACTTGATACATGGCATAAAGTCACGTTCCTCATTCAGTGTAAGAATGTGACTCTCTTACTTTTGTTTAAGAATGAACCCCTGAAGAGCGTTCTAAATAACAGCAGCTTATTTCTTCATAGTCAGGGATAAAGGTACATAGCTGAGTGTTTATAGTGCAGTATGTCACAGCTGTTGTGAATTACCTGAATTCTGAGATCAAATCAGAATTTATTTAGCATGATTGAAATTGGAAAACACTTGAAGTTCAGTGACTTTTATCAGTGACTTAATTTTTGTAGTGACTACTGAATTATTAATTTCTTTTTAAGATTTAAGTTAATGAACAGTCTTCTATCCATAAATTTTGCTGCTTTCTTCTTATGGGTTACAGAGATAAAAGCAGTTGAGTTCTTATCAGGAAAACTGCTGAGAACATGCTTATAGTTTGGTGTAATTATTATGTATTTTTTCTTACCTTTGGTTTGAAGCTGATTTTGTTAGCTAAAAAGTGATGGTTTGGGCATGTCAGACTATTTTGTGTATATTCTTCAGAAATTATTTTTGTAATCTGTAATCAAACAACTGAAGAGATCTTGGTGATTTTATCACATAGTTAATGTTCACATGTCTAAAAATAACAGTTGTGTTAGTAAAAATGCACTTTTATGAAGGAAGTAGGGCCTGACATTAGAGGATGTTGAGTAGGACATTTATTAGACATATCCAAAATGAAAGACAACCAGGTTTTGCTGTCCCTCCTCACAAGTTTTATGATGAATAGATTGATTTGTTTAGCCTGTACTGTCTTTGAAGACTTCGCATTATTAATCAAATATTAACTGGAGGAAGAGTTGTAACCCTAGTGAATTTGTGAAACGTGGGTTTGGATCAATTGTATTTGCTACTACTTTTTTCAGTATTTCTTTATGTAACATTCAATGAGAGTCTAATTGTAAAGCTTCTCTAGAGTCCTCGTTACTTTGATGGGCAGCCTGAAAAAGCAAATCACTTAAGTTTTGGTCATACTATAATTTGACTCTAGTTTCTAATATGTGCTAAGAAAAGAAAGGTTGCAGTCAGAAAATGTATAAATTAACAAGTGGAAAACTAGCATTAAAAAAAAAAAGTTCTGTCTCATAATAAGTATTTTATTTAGCTGGAGATTTAGCATAGCACTGATTATTAGTGGCCTTCTCTCAAGCTACAGTTTTGGTTTGCAACTTGGTGGTTAAAATCATATCAGTGTAACCATATAAGATCTCATTAAAACACTTCTGAGCAACCTTTTGTTCTTGTATATGTGTGTAGGTAGTCATACTGATGTGTGAATGATGTTATTTTGCTGGTTTTCCTGCCTCTTGTGTTGTTTGTGATGTCTTTAGGTAGCTTCGTTGATAAGTCCAATTCCTAAAACTGTTTTTCAAGAAAAGGTACAAGACATGAAAGAATCAATCTACTATAGTAGTCGTGAAGAACGTTTGGGTAGAACACATGATCAATCTTTTATGTTACCTGAGGGCTTGGATATAATTAATACTACATTTGGAAAAAAAACCATCAAAGGTAGGAAAATTTACCATTAAAATGTATTTCTTATAAATACAAGAAAATCTGCAATTTAGTATCTAGCACATGCTCTATGCTTCCAACAATTCCATTTTAACAGAAAAATTGTTATAACAGTTATTGAGAGGCCTAAAACTGTATTTTTCAGTTATAGTGAAGAAACAAGCACCCAAGAACATAAGGTAACTGGTGGGGCCTTTAGCTATGTTCCTGATCTCTGTGTATAGATTTCCCTGGAGAACTATTTAGGTAGCTGTCAACTTACTTTCCTTTTCCCAACAATTTTAATAGTCTAATGAAAGAAACTTCCTTGACCTGTCCATCTTTCCTCCATAGACTGGAGGAAATCGCATGTGTTGCCCATGAAGCTCTTTTGCAAAAGTTCATTTTGATTTCTGTGATTTTTTTTTTCCCCTAGTCCCATGTCATGTTAGATTAACTATAGACTGACTATAGATTGCCTAGAAATGTGGTAAGAACTATCATTCTTCCACAGTATTAGCAACTTCTTTAACAAGATACTGTTTAAAATTGGGAGCCAACCAAACAAAACACCCACCCCCTTATCTCCCCCAACCATACATTCATTTCCAGATATACCAGCTGGACTGCTTGTAAATCCACCAAAAACCTTTGAGGAAGTGGATAAAGAAGCCAGAGAAGGACATGATCTGTATGTTGTGTCACATGAGGCTTATGACGTGGGTAAGTTCAGAGGCTAATAAGAAACCCCATAAAAAATTCCTCTACATGTGTTCAACACATACTGTATGCTATTTTTTGAGATGTAAACTATTAATTTTACCACTGTATTAATACAATATAAGTTGTTTTTAAAAGTAATTATGTGAAAAAATATGCATCCAAGAGAGCATGATCTGTTTCTAGAACAGTATTTCACTTCATGGTGGGCGTTTTAAAGGGTGTAAGAGCTTAATGAAGGATTTGGAAGCCTGATTTCTTTTGGATGCTCTTTGAAAAGAAGAATATTTCCAATTAATTAGAAACTCATAGATGTCCTGGTTGCCTACTGAGTTTGACACTGTCTTTACCACTGAAGGCATTCTTGTCCTTAAAGCCACAGACTGTGAGCCCAGCACATTCCAGTACTTTCAGCTTTAGTTGGTCTCTTTTGTCAGGATCCAAATAGAATCTCAGAGCAACCAGACTTTCTAATGAGGAGCTCACCATCAAGCTAATTTCAAAAATTTCAGGCTGCTGGGTGGCTCTCTGGAATGCAGCCTGCAGGATCCTGCCTGTGAGTCCCTCTCACAGCCTCTGTCTCTGCCCTTCCAGGGGGCTGTGGCTCCACTGCTTCAGCCTCTGGGGGCTGTACTTGTGTGATATGATCTGTTCAGGGGCGGTTACCCTTTATTTCACAGGTCTGCACAGGAAGAGAGAGACAGACAGGACTCTAAACCACAGCATATGTATTACTTTTGCAACCACTTCTATTTTTCCCAGTTCCATCATTTCCACTTAGGCCAAAAGACTTAAATTGCTGGTCTGTAAGATTGCTATAATAATAAAGTTGCTGCTTGTGCTAGTAGTCAAGAGTTTTGTAGGTGGAGGCCAAACATGTAAGAAACTGCAATACAGATCTTTCAGTTGTAATAATGTAAATTTTATGTGGAAACAGTTATGTAGAGGTGAAATTATAGTACCGTTGTCTTACTGAGAAATTCTACTACAAGTAGTATTGGTGTAAATTGGCCAAACTTGTAATTTTATTTCCTTTCTCCCCTGTCTTTCTCAGGTGTTTTGGTTGAATTATTCATTACCTGTCTCTGTCTTCTTTGTAACTTCCATCCACAAGATCATGGAGAGACCAAGACAGAAACAGAAAGACAGAAAAAAAAGAAAAGTCAACTATGTGCCCCAGCAATAACATAAAAATTCTATGCTACCGTACAGCCAGATTAAGCCCTTATTAGAAAGCATTCAGTGAATTATATTTTTGAAAGTTCTAACCACCATTCTTTTCAAAAAGTGATTGAAAATACCTTGAAGAAACAGAATGACAGTTT